TGAAACCATAATCTGAGCCGAAGTTGGACGCTTAACCGACTGAGCCACCCAGGCGCCCCACATCTAAAAATCTTAGAAACATTATTTTTGATGTCAGTATTCTAACCAGATAATACACTCACGTGGTTCAAAAGTCAAAAGGCATCAAAATGTGCCTGAGGAACTATCTCCTCCCCACCCCTGTCCCCACCCGCCCAGTTCTCATCCCAAAGGCAACTTCCGTTCCCAATTTCTTATACTTCCTTCTAGAGATGTCTGCGCACGGATACAAACATATACAGAGATATAATTTGCAATGTTAATGGAAGCATACTTTTCAGAGTTCTATACTTTGTTCTTTTCCAATTAACAATACGTCACAGGGATTATTTCATATCTGTACATCAAGCACGGGCCCGTTCCTTTTTAACAGCTGCATAGTATTCCATCATGTAAATGAGCAGTTTGTTTTATTTCCTTTTTTTCTCTCTCTCTCTCACAAACAAGGCTGAGCAGTGCATTGCCTTTAAACCTCTCTTTTCCTATGTTGTGAGTGTACATGTCGGGTAAATTCTCAGAAGGGAATTTGCTGGGTCAGAGGGTATGTGCTTTTGTCTTTTGATAGACATTTGTCAGATTGCCTCTGGAGTGGTTGTACCCACTTACACACCACCAGCGACACACGTATTCCCCCAGCCTCGCCAGCATAGTGTGTGATCATATTTTTGGTCTCTGCCAGTTTGATGGGTGAAGAGGGCATTGTGTTGGAGTGAATGTGTGAGCCAATGTCTAGGCACATGGAAGGATGCAAACATTCTCCAAAGGAGCTCGAGCTCTCCCATCCTGTGAATGTGAGTCAGTGTGGAGCGAGCAGAGAAGTTTGGGGTGAGCTGCTCTGAGCAGAGTGGGGCTGCTCCCCTGGGATCACCAGGGGCTCCCCACCCCCACAAGACTGCCAGCTCCCGGAGGGAGGGACCAGGCCCGTCTTGTCCACTGCTATATCTCCTGTGCCGAGACCGCAGCTTGGCACTTGGTGGAATGAAGAAGTTCTCCCTGACCAGCTGGGGGGAGGAGGAGGGGCAGGGCGCAAGGGGGCTGGGCAGACGGGATCCGAGGATACACTGGTCATCGATGCTGCTCAGTGTGAAGCGGGTGTTGGAGAATCGGGCGAAGCCGTCCCGGTACAGCCAGGCCCGCAGCGGGATGTACTGTGTCGAGGAGGGAAAGGAGGGAGAGGAAGGGGAGAGGGGTGAATACGAGCAATCTGCCCCTCCTAGCTTTTGCACCCGCTGTTTCTTCCACCTGGAGTGCCCTTCCTTCCTTCCTTCTCACATCACCCCTCCAGAATCCGTCCAAACAGCCTCCTCTGATTCCACCCCCTCCCTCCCTGGTGTCAGGGGCAGGGAGAAGACGCAGAAGGGAACCGAATGAAGGAGACTCTTCTCTGCTCCGCTACCACGCGCGACACCCTTCCGGGTGTGTCCACGTTCCCCACCAGACGCTCGGCTCCAGGAGCCCAGGGGCTGAGCCCGCCTCCCACGCCCCTATGTCCTCATGCCCCACACTGAGGAGCACCTCACAAAGGTTTGAACGGTTGCTGAACGAATGGGTGGGGAGAGGCGGTATGGCAGCTCCTTGTCTGAGAGTAGACTCTGGCACTAGGCCGCCTGGATTGGGAGCCCAGGTCTGTCCGTCACCTGTGCGTGACCTCGGGTAAGCCACTCAACACCCTCTGATTCTGTTTCCTCATCTGTAACATGAGGATAATAATAGAACCCGCCTCCCTGGTCGTTAGGAGGACCAAACGTAGTAAAACCTGCTGAATACCGGGGTTTGATACTTAGGAGGTGCTCGGTAAAGGTCAGCTGCGGTTACCACGAATGGCTGAGTGAATAAAGGACAGGCGGACGGCAAATCCAGACTCGGGTCTCTGAGATGGCAGAAATGGGATCTGTTTACGTGCCCCCGCCTTACCCTCAGACGCCCCCTGGGCTCTCCCAGGCAGGCTCACATAGGCGCCCCCAGAATGGCTTCTGCCCCGTCTCCTGGCCCAGCTCTTCCTTACCTGCTGCTGGAGGAGGGCCCCATCTTAGCTACTCACCGACATCACCAGCACGTAGACGCGCAGGTCAAACTTGCGGCCTGTCAGGCAAGGAAAGAATTCATGCAACAAATACTGACCGTGTGCCGGGCAGCATGGTAGGTTTGGGGGTTAGAGCAGTGGACAGGCAGAGGTGAATGCCAATAAAAGCACAAGAGGTACAAGGAGAAGGTAACGAGGAGGGGAGGTGGTTAATGTGGGGGAAAAGCTGGAGACAGGGGATCAAGGAAGGCTTCGTGGAGAAGTGGTGGCCTAGAGGAAGAGAGGTGCCCCCCAGCCTGGAGGGGGCGGGCCTTGGGGCAGGAGGGACTGCCTGAGCAAAGGGCTCGGTCCAAGGACAGAGTGGAAGGAGACGAGGTCAGTGAGGTCAGCAGGGGCCAGCTCACGTGCAATATTTGGATTCTGTTTTAGCAACCATGGGAAGCCACTGAGGGGATCTTGTCCCCCTGGGTACTGTGCTGGAGCGGAGCATAGGGGACCAGAGTAGCAGCGGGCATCAGTGAGGATGGGAGGGGACAGTGGCCAGAACCAGGACGGAGGGGGTCAGATGGATTCAAGAGCTGCGTGGGAGCTTGATGGAGGTCGGACACGGGAGGGGAAGAGAGAAACACACCCACAATGGTCTCCGGCCTCTGGCTTAGCAACCAGGGGCTGGAGGGGCTGTATCCCGACGGGGAGGCTGGGTAATGAGCCATATGGCAGCGGGAGGGCGAGGGTTGGATCTTAGGCATGTTGGGTGTGAGCTGCCAGGAGGTGCCCAAGGGTCGGTGGGACCTCAGGATCCGGGCTGCCGGGGTGAGGTCCTGGCTGGAGACAGAAAGCTGGGAGGTCACTGGCATCTGGGGGTGTTGAAAGCCACGAGAGAGCCACTGGGGGAGGGGAGGGAGGATGTTGCCCGAAGCGGTGAGAGGAGCCAAGTGGCCCTCTGTTCTGGGCAGAGACCGCCATCTCACCTCCTATCAGGTAGGGATTTTCGATATAGCGCTGAGCTACGTAGTTCTCCACGGGGATTTCATCCTTCTGGTCATCAGAACTTCTTGCGTCCTGGTTGTAACAATAACTATTATTAACATCTACGGAGCATTTTCTGTGCAGGAGGCATCGTGCTAGACACTCTCCTCATTTGGTCTTTAAATCAACCCTATCAGGGAAGGACGAACGTTATCCCCCATTTTACAGATGAGCAAACTGAAGCACAGAGAGGGGAAGCGACTTGCCCAAGGTCACACAGCTGCTCCGTGGCACAGCTGGGACGTGGACCCACACGCAGGCTGGGCCCAGAGCTTCCGCATTTAACCTCTAGACCTGTGCTGTCTATTTACATTTAAACTGCTTAAAAATAAGTGAATTTAAATGCTATCACGTGGATGAACCTTGAAGCCATTACGCTAAGTGAAATAAGCCAGATACAAAAGGACAAACACTGTAGGAGTCCATTTAGACGAGGTCCCTGGAGGAGTCAGATCCACGGACACAGAAAGTAGAAGAGTGGTTGCCAGGGGCTGGATTGGGGGGGGCTGCTGGGAAACAGGGAATTAGTGTTTCCTGGGGACAGAGTTCCGGAAGCGGACGAGAGTTCTGGAGGTGGATGGTGGTGGTGGTTGCACAATGATGTGAATACACTTAGTGCCCCTAAATTATACGCTTAAACGTCGTTAAGATGGTAAATGTCATGTAGATAAAAGAACGAAAAGAAATTTAAAATCCAGTCCTTGAGGGACACCGGCTTCATTTCAGGTGCTCAGCGTCAGTACGTAACTAGTGGTCACGGTACCGGAGAGCACAGGCATACACCGTTCCGCCTCTGTAGAAAATTCCATTGGTCCGTGCTGCCTGGAGGGCCACTCAGGTGCCTGGGGACTTTCCTCTCCCGTCTCTGCCTGCGAATCCTTTCCTGGCCAGCCCAGCAAGGCTCTGTCTCACACCTGCACAGCACCCCATGGTCTGTAAAGCCCCTTCTCAGCCGCTGTCCCCTTCACGGTAACCATGTGAGAAAACTGAGGCCCAAAGGCGAGTGGCGCATACTTGGTGAGGTCACACAAGGGCCTGGTGGCAGGGAGCCACTGGAACTCAGGGTCTCTGGCCCCCAGGGCAGAATTTTCTACACCTGCTATCATCCCCCGGCCCCCTCCCCCTCCACCGCCAAGCTGCTTCAAGACAGAGGCAACCAGGCCTTCCCTTCCTGGGCCCCGGGCCACCTGGCACCTGTACTCACATGGCCTCCGGGTGGATTGACAGCGCTCCGGGCTGGCTGGGCCTCTGAGCTGGTGAGCTTCTTCCCAGCGGTGCCCTGATGGGAAGGAATCAGACACACAGAGGAGGGAGGCAATTCACTTACTGAGCACCTGCTCATGCAGCAGGTGCTGGTTGTGTAGCAGCATTATCATCTCTAAAGTTCAGAGGGGGTTAGCAATTTTCCCAAGATCACACAGCTGCTGAGTGGCAGGGGCAGGATTGGAAGCGGGATTTCTACTACTCCGCATCCTGGGATAAGGATGGGTCATGGGGAGGGAGGGAGCTCCCTCAGGCTCGGCCTGGGACTTGGAGGAAGAGTCAGCCAAGCTCTCCCCAATCAGGTGAGCAGGAGGCCCAGGTACAGAGGCAGCGTTCTCAGGTTTTAGGCATGGTAACTCGTCCTCAGCAGGCACTGTTACTACTCTCCCCCATTTACTTGGGCACAGAGAGGAGAAGCATCTTGCCCAGGGTCACACAGCTTTTAAAGGGCAAAATCAAGATTTGAGCCCAGGCAATCTGGCTTCAGAGACTCCGTTCCCAGGGGCAGAGCTTCGCTGCCAGCCCTTCAAGCTTTGGAGGAGGGAAGGAGGGGCCCCTCATGGCAGCAAGGGCAGAGGGAGATTTCCGGAGCAAGGGGGAGGGGTAAGCTTACCTTCCTCCAGTCCATGATGTCCTTCAGCCTCCGGAAGAGGAAAATGCCTTTTCCCTGCGACCGGGCTACCTGGGGTGGGGGTGAGTGCAGAAAGGTCTGCTCTCAGCTCTATGTGGTTCCTTGTTGGCCCCTGTGCCTGGGGCACCTCCCCACCATTTCTCTGTCTCTATCTCTCCCATGGGCTTCCAGCTCTCCCCAGAGGAATGGTCCAGCCCAGCCCCATGGGGCCAGCCACTGAGAAGGCACTAAGCCTGGCTGGCGGGTGGGAGGGAGGCAAGGGGGGGAGGAAAGAGAGAAGCCGACTTCGCTCACAAAGGCATACAATGGCATGAATAATACAAAACAACAGACAATTAAAAAACCATTTCTAACAGTCTTGGGAACACATCATCCAATTCTTTTTTTGGAAATCAATTTGCCTCCCTAATTAGGTTTTGCTTCAGCTAATACTGATCAGTCTGCCTTTACTGAATCCCAGCATGGATAATTCATGGCTTCACAGAGTCTAGGGGCTGGAAAGATCTTTAATATCATGCAGAGCAGTCAGCACCAAAGGCATTACTCCCCCCTGAGAAATCCCTCTGTGACGGTCACCTGCCAGGGAGCTCGCCACCCTCCCCCTACCTCCGGATGCAGCTCATTTGTTGCAGGATCGCTCTATGAAGCAGTCATCCCAAAGATATCCATTAGGTGACTACTGTGTGCTGGGCATTATGCTATAGCCGTGACCCAGACCTCATGGAGCTTTCACAGCCTAACCTGTGTCGAGCTAAAAATTTGCCAGCCTGGCTCTGGCCTGTAGGGCTTCCTAAAACAAATCTGATCCCTGGGCCCCAGAGCAGCCCTTTGGGTAATCTGCAGCCACTGAGCAGATCCCCTTGAGGCGTCTTTTCTCTGGCATTAAGGCACCCAGGTAATGCAAACTCTCATTTCCCTCTGTTCTTCTCGGAGCAGGGCCAAGTTGGTTAATGTGATGTTCTCTGTACAATGCAGGGGCAGGCAGGGCTGTCAGGCATGGATGGGCAGGCTGTCCACTGCACAAGGGCTCCCCGTCATGGGGCCAGTGGGAGCTGAAACTCAGCCCCCGCTCTGCCTGCTGCGCTGTGTGCCTGTTTCGGGGTTGTGTACGCCCAGAAGATGGGGTGCCCGCAAGACCTGGGAGAGCAATAGTGTGCACAAAGGGCTTCCCACAGTTCCCAGCTACCCACAAGACTTACATTCACCTCACAAAAGATGACCCAACGTAAACAGTGAAAAAGTCACTCAACTTCATTAGCCTCAAGGAAATGCAAATGAACACCCCAAGAGGATGCCACCCTATACTCCCTGAGAGTGGGTAAAACTAAAGACCGACAACGGCAAGTGTTGGCGAGGCTGTGGAGAAACCAGAACTCACAACTGCTGGTGGGCGTGCACCAAAGCTGGACATAGGCATCTGCTCTGACCCAGAAACTCCTCTCCTGGGCACCTGCTCGGCAGAAACCCGGGCACCCGCGGACATGTACAGGACGTGTAGCACACGATTCACAATAGCTCCAACCTTGAAACTCCCAAATGGACAAGTACACACTCAACGGAATCGTGTCGACAATGATGATGAACAATGCACCGACCCACGTCAGTGTGGATGAGTCGCCTGAACACGATGTTGAGGGAGAGAAAGCGGACGCAGTGGAGCCATACCACGTGATTCCAATTACACAAAGTATGAAAGCAGACAAATGATGAATCCATGCTGTTAGGGACCCGAGGGGTAGTGAGTGGGAGAGGGTCGGAGGGGAGCTGCTGAGGGGCTGGCAATGCCCTGATTGCAGTCTGGGTGCTCGTTACTCAAGTGTGCTCGCCTCGTGAAATTGACCAAGCTGTGCCTCTGTGACTGGAGCATATTCTCTTTACTAAACTTCAATTAAGACTTTTTTTTATTTATTTTTTTTTTAATTTTTTTTTCAACGTTTTTTATTTATTTTTTGGGACAGAGAGAGACAGAGCATGAATGGGGGAGGGGCAGAGAGAGAGGGGGACATAGAATCGGAAGCAGGCTCCAGGCTCTGAGCCATCAGCCCAGAGCCCGACGCGGGGCTCGAACTCACGGACCGTGAGATCGTGACCTGGCTGAAGTCGGACGCTTAACCGACTGCGCCACCCAGGCGCCCCAGAAGTTTTTTTTTAAAGACTCCTGCCTTTGGGTCTAGGACCCCCCACCCCCACCTTTCCTGTGGCCATTCCCCTTCCTTCTTTCTGGCCGGCAGAGCCCAGCTCTCACACGGAGGCTGGAAAGACCAGATACCTGTGTGGTCAGCCTCCCATGCAGCTCACGGGAACCATGCGACTAGTTTTGGTCAATGAGGCCCAAAGAGACATCGGCTTGGGGACTTGGGGCTTCTGAGAACGATTTTTTTTTTCCTTGTTAACAATACTGGGGTGGGCGCCTGGGTGGCTCAGTTGGTTAAGTGTCTGACTCTTGATTTCAGCTCAGGTCATGATCTCATGGTTCGCGAGATCGAGCCCTGCATCAGGCTCTGCTGATAGAGCGGAGCCTGCTTGGGATTCTCTCTCTCCCTCTCTGCCCCTCCTTCCCTCTCAAAGTAAATAAACAAGCATTTAAAAAAATACATTGGGGTTGAGGAAGAGGAGAAAGAGAGGCAGGGAGCAAGAGAGGAAGGGAGGGAGAGAGAGAGAGAAAGAGATGTTTGCCTCCTTTCCTTTCTTTGAATGCTACACTCTGGGGAGGTGAGGACTATAACCGTCACCAATGAGGTGACGAGTCTGATGGAGGAAAGCCAATACACTGAGGATGCAGAGTGATGACAGAGAAGAAAGATAAGGAATATGGTCTTTTCACAGCACCACTGAGCACATCTCCCAAACCTGGAACTTCCTACCTCTGGCTTTCTTGTTATATGAGGTGATAAAATGCCTTTATTGTTTGAAGCATTGCTAGTATGTTGGCAAACACGCCTGTTCCGGGAGATGCCCTCCTAAGGGAATAATCCTTAGGGTGAAAAGTAAACTTCCTGCTTGGTGATCTATCAGGGTTGTTGAGGCTGGAAACCACCACCTGCTCCCTAGCTCCAGCAGACTGTAGTTTCCAAAAACAATCACAAAAATATTTCCACTCCCATATGTTTTCCCAGAACCTTGCTACCTCCACCCTCCATCAAGAGGTAAATTCAATGTCCCGCCCCGAATCTGGGCCAGCATTTGGGACTGTCTCTACTAATTGCATATGGCAGAAGTGACATTGTGTGGATTCCAGTGCTGGGTCCTCCAAGGCAACACAGCTTCCACACAGCTTTCTCTTTGGGGATGGTTGCCCTTGGAACCTAGCCACCATGCCGTGAGGAAGCTCAGGTCACATGGAGAGGTCCATACGGAGGGCAACTGAGTCTTCCAGCCCTCCACCCTGGCTGAGCTCCCGGCCAACAGCCAGCACTGACTTGCCAGCCCAGTGAGGCAGCCAGCTCGGAAGAGAATCCTGCAGCCCTCACGGGAGCTGTCCCAGTAGATGCTCAAACAGCAACGAGCCTTCCCTGTCAAATGCTGCCCAAACTAGCATGAGCTAATAAATAAGACAGGATTTTCGTTTCAAGCCACTGAGTTTTGGGGTGCGGGAATAGGACCAGCACACTGACTTTAGGGGAATGGTTTCTAACAATGGTAGCCAATACTTCTCAGATGTTTTCTGGGTGCCAGGCACAAAGACTTATGCCCATGAGCTCCTTAAAGCTTTACAAAGAATCTTCTATGGAGGCATTAACATTATCCCCCTTTTGCAGCCAAGGAAACCAAGGAACAAGGCCAAGCACTCTGTTCAAGGTTACCCAGCCTGTAGGTGACAAACCCAGGTAGTTATTTATTTTTTTTTTTTTACATTTATTTATTTTTGAGAGACAGAGAGAGACGAGTACAAGTAGGGGAGGGGCAGAGAGAAAAGGAGACACAGAATCCGAAGCAGGATCCAGGCTCTGAGCTGTCAGCACAGAGCCCAACGCAGGGCTCGAACTCACAAGCCGTGAGATCATGACCTGAGCCAAAGTCAGACGTTTAACTGACTGAGCCACCCAGGCGCCCCCCAACCCCCACGGTCAACATGGTCCTACTGTTGGGACTATCAATCTTACTTGATAATCTGGGAGTAAAATATTATTTTTATAAAAAGATATGTTTTCAATTGGAAAATAATATGAATGGATTGTTGGGGCGCCTGGGTGGCTCAGTCGGTTAAGCCTCCAACTTCAGCTCAGGTCATGATCTCACGGTTTGTGAGTCTGAGCCCTGTGTCGGGCTCTGTGCTGACTGCTTGCTCAGAGCCTGGAGCCTGCTTCGGATTCTGTGTCTCTTTCTCTCTCTACCCTTCCCCCACTTGTGCTCTGTCTCTCAAAAATAAATAAATGTAAAAAAACATATATATATGAACGGATTGTTAGAATGAACCATATTTAGATTTAGATTTAGATATTTAGATTTAGAACCTGTGGCCACTCATGGCCCTCGATGCCCTGCCCCTGGGGATCATTTCTCATGAGGCATTCGTTGTGTGGCATTCATTGGGTGTTACAGATGTAGTTGGTGGTCCACTCAGCAACGCCAAGTATGGAAAAAAATTCCCTTTTTTCTCTGCCAACAGAACCCCATTTGGGTATTTGTTTTTTAATGTAAGCTCTACACCCATCGTGGGCATTGTATTCACGAACCTGAGATCAAGAATTACCTGTTCCACCAACTGAGCCAGCCAGGCGCTCCCAACAGAACCTCATTTGGATCACCTCTTCCTGGTGGCCCTGCCCTCTGCGGGGTCTGATGCCCACGGTGGTCCCATGCCCCCACCATGTGACCGGTTCAAGCAGGGCCAGCAGGATGCCAGGGGAAGTCTACTGCAGTGACCTCTGGGGAGTTTGTGTCTTCTTCAAAAGGGACACACAAGACCAGGGTGTTCCTTCAATCCTGTGGCAATAGTGGAGGCGTGAGGAGGTGAAGCTAGAGCTGGCAGCTACATTGTGACCAAGAGTAGCGGCCAGCCCCCTGGGGTGGGAACCGATGATGACGTCGTCGAGCTGCCCTATGATGTTGAATCATCCCTGGAAGCGACCTCTCGTCATTAAAGGAAATGTCCTGGGGTCTGTAAACTTGAATGAGAAGAAAGTTTTTCATCCTAACCAGATTTTCCCACTGCTTCCCATTATGAATGCAGACAACAAATCCTAGTAGTACTAGCCAAGCCTGTGACTTTACTCTCAGAGGAAATCTCGGTTATTTTTAGATCACATTAGAGTTGCTGCAGGTGTCTCAAAATATTGTTTTTGCTTGTGATGATTTTGAAAGTATGGTAACAATGGGGCCTGCTGTTAGACTCTCTTTCACTGTTAATGAAAAACACATATATTGTTACTGTTACTGCATACAGATCATTTAATAGTTTGTGTGGCCGTTGTGAGAACATGCTAGCAAGTCTCCAACCGCGGAAGGTGCTGGACTGACCGCCAGCTTCTACTACCGCAATCCACGCTGCACTTGTGGGGCCCCGCCTGCAGGGGACGCTCCTGCCACGGACGGAGGACAGAGGGGGCCTTGAAGGCTAGCCCACTCCCTGGAGAGTGGGGCCTCCTCTGGCATGAGGCCTCCCCCAGGCCTTGCTGCCCGGCCTCTAGGTGCTTCTCTTCCTTCCCTCTCTCCCTCGCTGGGGTCTGACTGCCGTCCAGGCTCCCCCCACTCCCTCCCCCAATTCCTCACGGGCAAAACTCCCTGCATGTTTGTTTGTTTCTCAGAGGACCCAGACTAACCGGTTGATAACTGTTTTTCAATAGAGTTGCTTCTTTTTATAACCAAATTATTTTATCCTTTTAAAAACACTATTTTGTGGGGCGCCTGGGTGGCGCAGTCGGTTAAGTGTCCAGCTTCAGCCAGGTCACCATCTCATGGGTCCGCAGTTCTAGGCCCGCCAGGCTCTGGGAGACATGGTTCGGAGCCTTGAGCCTATTTCCCATTCCCAGTTCCTCTGCCCCTTCCCCTGCTCATGCTCTGTCTCTCTCTGTCCCAAAAATAAATTAAAAAAAAAAAAAAAAACACTATTTTGTGACCGTGTGAAACACTATTTTTACCAGCCCTCTCGTTTGGGCTCCCTGTAGTCGTGATTTCTGTTATTTGCTGCCCAAGGCATCCTGCCGACCTCCTGCCCACCCAGAGGGCCTGAGCTGGTAGGAAGGGAGAATGTCTCGATGGCAAAGAAGTTGGGATCGATGCAATTTTTACATCAGTTGGACTTTTAAATGGCAAAGCCAAGGGCTTGTTCTTATACTCTGAGATGGGCTGGGGCTCAGGCTCGGTGGGAATAGGGGTTCCTGAGGATGGCAGGGAGGGGATGATGCTGCTTACTCCCTTCTGAGTCCAACTCGCCCCGCCCACCCCACCACGCATTGCCCCTGCTCTGCTGCCAGGAGTGGAGGAGGAAGCTGAAGAGTCAGCAGGCCCTAGGGCACCGTGCAGAGGAGATGCCAGAGGGAAAAGGCAGGCCAGTGGCTACCCTGACCCGTCGGCCATGGCAGCTATGTGAAAACTCTTGTGTGTGGGTGCACGAGGACAAGCTGGCTCACAGAGACAGGCCTTGTGGGAGGAGTGGAGGGATTCGGGATTTTTTCTATTTTCTGAATTTGGAGTAATGTCCTTTTTTTTTTTTTTTTTTTTTTTTTTTTTTTTTTTTTAACATTTTCCCCACCCCAAAGGATCCAAACAACAGGATCCCAGAACTAATACTCCGTCCCAGCGGTTCATGGTTCTGTGGCTCCAGAGAACCCTGGTTGCTCTACCTGGGAAATTGTTAGAAATGCAAATTCTTTGGCCCCACCCACATCGGGCCTACTGAATCAGACCCTGGGGGATGGGAGGGGGGCTTTAATAAGCTCTCCAGAAAATTCTGATGCACTCTCAGTTTTGAAAATGATTCCACTAGGGTCTCACTCCCCAAAGTGTGGTCCGTGGACCAGCAGCAAGGGCCTGACCTGGGAGCTGGTTAGCAAGGCAGACTCTCAGACCGACCCAGACCTGCCGAATCAGTCTCTGCCTTTAACCAGGTTGCCTGATGATTGTGGGCACGTTTGGGTTTGGGAAGCACCGACCTCGTGCTTTCCAGGTGTCACCTGGAGTCTTGGAAATAACCATAAAAGCGGTCAATGACTGGACACCTAAGTGCCAAACCCTTTATATAATGTGTATAACCGCACTGGATTCTCTCGCAAGCCCGGCAGGTAGGTGCACTCATTCATTCCATTTTATGGATGAGGACGATGAGGACGCAGACTTAGAGGAGTTGAGGAACCTGCCCAGGGCTTATGCGTGGCGGGTACAGAGTTAGAGCTCAGAGCACCCACTCCTGTCTCCCCACACCCCAGACAGGGCGCCACAGCTATTCAGGAGCAAGGACACACGCACACAGCCAAGATGCCTCCTCTTAATTACAGCTGTCTTGTGTCTGCCTCTAACAAAGGCCGTGGGCTGGGAAAGGAATCAACTTAATATGCAATTGCTCATCCCAATTAGCACAAATTACCATTTGTCTGAGAGGCTAATGCTGGGAGCTGGGACCGCCCTGTGGCTTGTAGTCTTCCTGTGCCTAACGAACCCCTTCTTCTCCGGCTGCAGAGGAGGGGACAGGTGCAGGAGGTCCCGGGGTCAACGCTGGCTGGGACCCAGTCGGGAGGATCCGTCGTTTTTGTCTGGCACGTCAATTCCCCCTCCAAGCAGCTGTGCTCTTGGTTGAATGTGCATATCAGCCAACACCAGGTCTAGTCCCCAGCTGCACGAGGAAGGGCTGCCCCCCACGTCCTCCCCCCAGCTCCCTTCCTGGGGCCTGGCACGGTCCCAAGCCCAGAAAATATTAGGGGGCTTTGATGATACCATTTAAGGCTATGGTGGCTTTGTGGTGAGAAACCAGCCCTGGCACGAGGAACAATCGAGGGGCTCATAGGTGCTCTGCCGCGCCTACCCTCCACTCAGTTTCTTGATCCCCGAAGGGCTGGCTACCTCCGGATGCAAGGCTTTCATGCATGCAGTCCCTCTTCCCAGAATGCTCTTCCCTACCTCTGCCCTTCGCCAGGCTGACTCCTCGGCATCCTTCAGGGCACAGTCAGTATTTCTTGACTTTCAGTCAAAGTCAAGATTCTTTTAATAATACTAATAACAATGGCAGCTATCATTTATGGAGTGCTTAAGGTATGCTCTACCTGTGTTAATCACACCACAACATTATGTGACAGGTAACACAGTCTCACTTTGCAGATGGGAAAACTGGGGCACAGACAAGTTAAGTAACCTGTCTGAGCTCACACAGCAAGTAAGTGGTACAGGCAGTATTTAAACTAAGGGATTTGACCTTGGAGCCCAATCTCCCTTCAGAAAATCCCGCTGGGCAGCAGGGAACCTCCTACTGTTTCCTCTCTAGTGTCACTTAGAACAACTGTACTCACACAGGTATCTTCTGTATCGTCTGCACTCAAGGAAGGTAGAGACCCACTTCCAATTTGCTGAGGGCTGTGTCCCTAGCACCTACTTCTATGCCTGGCACGTAGCCAGCGCTCGGTAAACATTGTGGAATGCTTGAATAAATGGGTCACAGTCTCCTCATCTTTAAACCAAGGTAATATTGGGATGCCTGGGTGGCTCAGTCGGGTTAAGCGTCTGACTCTTGACTTCAGCTCAGGTCATGATCTCATGGTTTGTGAGATCAAGCCCCACGACAATCCTGCTTGGGAGTCTCTCCCTCTCTCTCTCTTTACCTCTCCCTCCACCCCCTGCTCTCACGCAAGCGCACACACACTCTCTCTCTCAAAATAAATAAATACATATTTAAAAATGAAATGAAATAAAATAAAATAAGGTAATATCTCATCCCAAAGACCATCTGGAGAATCAGGTAATGCAGGCAAAGCGCTTGGCATGACCTGACTGCCACCATTTTCTCTCATGTCAGGAAGAGAGGTGGGGATCTGAGCTCCAGCAAGGCTCTGGATTCACTGCCCTGGTGTCCTGAGGATACTTTTCCATCTAGTAAACATGTATTGAGCACCTACTGTGTACTAGCAGTCATAGCTGCTGGGTTCAAACACTGCAAAGAGGAGACAAAGCTCTTCGGCAGAGGGACACCTGGGTGGCTCAGTCGGTTAAACGTCTGACTTTGGCTCAGGTCATGATCTCACAGTTTGTGAGTTCGAGCCCCGCATCGGGCTCTGTGCTGACAGCTCAGAGCCTGGAGCCTGCTTCAGATTCTGTGTCTCTCTCTCTCTGCCCCTCCCCCACTCACACTCTGTCTCTCTGTCAAAAATAAATAAACTTAAAAAAAAAAAGCTCTTCTGCGGAGGCAGATGGTGCATCTAAGGCTGAAATCCCAGGCAGGGGTTCTGTCTTGGGATGCGCCATGAAGGATCCCTGCTGGTACCTGCGCAGCCCTCCCTCCCCCTGCCCCTTCCCCCTGGTCCCTGGACTGGGCACCGGGCACTCACAGGCTTCATGATCCAGGTGATCCCCGGGTTTTTGCGGAACTCTTCCACGAACAGGTGGTACTCGCATGGCATCTCAAAGGTTTTGGGGAAGAAGTCGCACTTGGCTGCCTCCAGCTTCCCTGCCTCGCGCTCCAGCTGCTTCCGGAACCGCTTCAGGTTCTTCACCATGTAGTTCTTGCGCGTCAGCTGGGCAGCGGGATGGGTGGACAGGCTGTTAGTGCTCGTGCCCCCTGCCCTGCTCCACCTCCCAGCCCCAGCCATCGCCACTGCCTCCCACAGCCTCCATTCTCGGCCCACGAAGTAGCAATAACAGTAAGAGTAACTTTGAGAGCCTGCTATTCTATAACCATCCCCACTTTACAGGCAAGAAAACTGAGGCTCAGGAAGGCCAAGTCAATTGCCCAGAGCTACCCAGCTAATGGAAGGCACAGCCAGGACTTGACCCGGGCCTGTCTAACTCCGAAGTTCATGTTGCTAACTTCTAAGCTGCACTAACCTTTTCAAATCTCAGCATCTTTGGCTCCTCCAGTGTGATTTGTGATCTGATTCCTCCCGGACCTCCCTCCCAGCTCTAGACTCCCAACTGCTCAATCTGTCTCTTCCCTGAAATCACCATATGGCTCAAGCATCCTGCTCCTGCGGCCCTCGCCCCCCAAGCCAGGCTGCCCCTCACATCTGTAGTGTTGACATGCCCACCAGCCTGTGACCTGAGTCCCCACCCCAAGATAGCCTGCTGCTCGGGTATTAGATCCTTACCCTCTCACATCCTTTAGCCCATCGTGTATCTTGTGCACATGTTCCCCACCTGGCATGTACCCCAAACTCCCTTACGCTTTTCCATTCTGCTCTTTGCACTCCCGTGCCAGCCCCTGCTCGTTGCGACATCCAGTGACATGAAGTGGCCGACTCAGCGCCCCCCCTTCCCCCACCACCACCAGCCCACCCAGCTCACCTCGTAGTGGTTTCGGAAGTGACTGATCCGCACATGTTCGTCCATGTAGGTGTGGTCAAAGTTCTCCCGGAGCCAGCTGACGTCACACCAGTAGAAATCCCAGTCCCCTTCACTGGGAGTGGGTGGGACAAAGGTCATGAGGTAAGGACCTCAGCACTGCTGAGGGCCTGGGGCCCACGGAGGTGCAGCTGAGGGACAAGCAAGGTTCATAAGGAGCCTCAAGGGGGTGCCGTGGGCCAGCCCTGCCCACAGTGTGCTTCGCTAGGCCAGAGTGAGAACGGGAGAAATATTCCTACACAAATCCAGGCTGCCGGCTTCCTTTGGGTTCCCTTTGAACAACCGGGGTATCGGCCACACGGGGTCCTGATGCCTCCTGACACCTGTCAGCGGGAGTGAGGAACAGCCACCAAGTTGGGACGTACCCTCTCCAGATCACAGCCCCTACCTACCACTGCCTACGGCCCATGGCAACCAGCCAGCCTCACCTGATCAGGTTACCTGCCTGGGCTCTAGAAGCATCTGGGTTGCCACCCCCGGCCCACATCACCAAGCAGTGCCTCCCGATAACATCTGTAAGCCCTTCCCTGTCCACAAAGCCCTCCCCTCACTGAGTCCTCAGAACAGCCTCAAGAGGTGACTACAATCATCCCTGGAGCCCTCAGTCGAGGAGAACCTCGCTCGCCCAGGGCACAGCAGCATCGGCATTCTTACCCAGACTAATCTACCGAATCCGACGCCAGAGCTGGGGTGCAGAGAGGAGGTGCTTGAAAAGGATGTGACAGGAAAGAAAATAATGCCACCACCATTGCTTCCAACGTTGTTTTTTTGTTTGTTTGTTTTTTTAAGTTACAAAATTACAACAATAACTGAAGACTAGACTCCAGCACCAGGCAGTGGGAATCATGGATTCATCCATTGGTTCGTTTGTTTCCTCATTCACCGAGAGGGTAGAGATGCACCTGGGACTCTGCACACAGACCGACTAGGTGCAGTCCAAGCCCTGACAAGCCAAGTGACCTCCAACATGGCACTCTTTACTCTTCCATGCCCAGGTGTCCCGTTTTCCAGCAGATGGGTATGACAATAGCACCTCCCAGAAGAAGGTTTGCTGGACGATTCAGAGGTCAGGCGTGTAAACTGCTATAGTAAAGAGTGTCTAACGGGCTCAGCTATTGTTATGCAACAACATTGGTTGAGCACCAGGTCAGGGCAGCTGGTGGCCCTCCCCCCTCCTATCCATTCTCCCCCTTTTGTCTACAGTAATAGAATTCCCAACATTTACCTGGGGAAATGTAATCCACATTTTCCAAAATAAAAGCTACATTTTCCAGATTCTCTTGCAGCTAGGCTAAGTCTGGCCAACGTGAGGGACTTCTGGGCTGTGTCCTTCAAGGGCAGGGCGTGTACTTTCTTGTCTCCTTCCTACCTACTGCTGCTCGCCCTGTGGATGCAAGACTGGAGCTTCACCTTAGACCGTGAGAAGGGCTTCACCCAAGGGATGGCAGGATGGAAAGACGGAAACAGGTGGCTCCAAATTTCTATGCGATCTCTGAAATTCCTACACCTGGACTTTGGTGGGAGAGATAAATAAACTTCTGGTCCGTCAGAGCCTCTTTTGCTTTGGGTCTGTGTTATATGCAGCCCAACCTTAGCCCTCACTAACATTAGCACCTGCTATGTGCCAGACATTGTTCATCTCAGCATCCCCAGGGCCCACCATAGAAGAGATGTAGGCTTAGCGGTCAAGTAACTCGTTCAAAGTCACAGGACTAGTAAGTGGCCAGGGACGAGCAGCCCTTGACCTCGACCTGCCATCCCCAGAGGATTCAAGCCAGCTAGTCTGTGACGGCTGCACTCCTTGATTCTCCAGAGAGCTCTAGGACCCTGGCTACGGAAGAGTCCAACAGAACTGGCAGCAACTCCCACTCTGACACACATGTGCTGTGTGACCTTCAACAATTGGCTTGATCCCTCTGAACATAATCATATCTTGCTGGATGGTTCTAAGACTTAGACAAGGCAGAGATGGCGTCTGTAATGTGCCTGATACACTCGGAGTGCTAAATAAATTTTGGTCCCTGTCACAGCCAAATTGGGACAAGTCCCAGTAGCCACCCACAGGAACTGGGAGAAAACAGAGGGAGACAAGGCCTGGTGAGTCAAAGGGAAAGAGGGCCGAGATTGGCAGGGGGTGGGGATGCGTCTTACTCCTTTACTTCTACCCAGCCCGGCCTGTGGCGAAGGACATCCATGAGAGTATTCATGAGAGTGGTCTTGAATCGGATTGAAGCTCTCTGCTCTCTGAAAGACAGGGTGACAGATCGCTTGTTCAGGGTCACGCAGAAACCTGTGCGTGGATGTTCACAGCAGCTTTATCCAGAATAGCCCGAAGCTGGCAACAACCCAGATGTCCTTCAATGGGTGAATGGTTAAATAGCGGTCCATCCATACCATGGAATACTGACTTAGCAATAAAAAGGAGTGATATATGTGTACATTCAACCTGCATGCATCTCTGGGGAATTATGCCGAGTGAAAAAGGCCGATCCTAAAACGTTCTTATATACTGTACAATTCCATTTATATAGCTTTTCTTTTGAGAGAAAGAGCATGCACGCACATGCAAGTGGGGGAGGGGGGTGGCAGAGAGAGAGAGAGGGAGAGAGGGAGAGAGGGAGAGAGGGAGAGAGAGAATCCCAAGCAGGCTCCTCATTGTCAGCGCAGAGCCTGACGCGAGACTCCAGCCCACAAACTGTGAGATCATGACCTGAGCCAAAATCAAGAGTTCTCCGCTTAACTGACTGAGCCACCCAGGTGTCCCTATATAACTTTTTGAAATTACAAAGTTATTAAAATGAAGAAAAGATTAGCAGTTGCTTGGGGTTAAGGACGGGGGGAGGTAGGGTTGTGGAAGAAGGCACAGGGAGAAGGAGGAAGTGGATGTGGTCATAAAATGGTCATATTAGGGATCGGTGGTGATGGGAACTTTCCTTATCTTGACTGTATGGATGTCAGTATCCTGGTTGCGATACTGCATTATAGTTGTATTCTCTGTTACCATTGGAGAAAAGCAAATACAGGGCACATGGTAACTCACTATATTATTTCTTATACTTTTTTTTTTTTTTTAAGTAGGCTCCTCACCCAACATGAGGCTTGAACTCACAACCCTGAGATCAAGAGTCACATGCTTTACCAACTGAGCCAGCCAGGCGCCCCTCACTACAGTATTTCTTATAACTGCATATAAATCTACAATTATCTCAAAGTAACTATTTAATTAAAAAAATTAACGCAGGGGCGCCTGGGTGGCTCAGTTTGTTAAGCTGCCGACTTCGGCTCAGGTCACGATCTCGCGGTCCATGAGTTCGAGCCCCGCATCGGGCTCTGGGCTGACAGCTCAGAGCCTGGAGCCTGTTTCAGATTCTGTGTCTCCCTCTCTCTCTGACCCTCCCCTGTTCATGCTCTGTCTCTCTCTGTCTCAAAAATAAATAAACGTTAAAAAAAAATTTTTTTTAAAAATTAACACATCATTAGAAGTCTGGATAATGGCTACCTTTGTGGGGGAATGATAGAAAGAGAGCATGAGTGGGGTTTCTGGAGTGTTGGTGATGTTCTGATTCCTGATATGTGGGTGTATTAAGTTGACGAAAATTCACTGAGCTATAAACTTATGACACATGCACCTTTCTGTATATACAACAGAACTCTGTAACAAAATACACCACGAATAAAGCTTAAAGGACTGGTTACAGATTAAGACAAAATATTTGTAATGCTTACAATCTGTAAGACAGTTGGACCAAGTACATAATGAGCTTCGACAAATCATTTTTAAAAAGACAAAAATGCCTAAAGGATTGAACAGGCAATTCATAGCAGGGGAAACGTACCAGTAAGCACGAGAAAAGATTCTCAACCTTCTCGACAATCAAGTAAACGCAAATTAAAACATCCCAGGTTATAGTGGAAGAGGCTGCGAAAGACTCTCAGTCCTATTGAAGCAGGGAGGGGAAAAATGTGCAAACTAAACAGCACACTTGACTATGGGGCTAGTGGGGAGCAACAGACAAAAGAAAACCTGAACTGATTCCAGAGAGAAAAAAGCCCTTAGGGAGAAGCAGAGAGCTATAGCAGGTGTCCAGGTCTGCGGGG